CATCGTAGTTCAATCAAAGATCTAATAGCTTTTCGTGACCTGAACCATCTGAAGAAGATCTGTTATCTATCTATTAAAAAAACATGAACTTGTCTGTAACAGACACTTTCAAGGTTCATCATATTAGAAGTTTATCTTTGCTTTTGAAACCATTTCGAATCTATGATATCCTAATCAAAAAAAAAGTCGATAAATTTTATATAAATCTTAAAACACATAATCTGAATAACTTTTAATCTATAATGGAAAAGACAAATTTCTTATACTGCTGATATAAGTCTTACCATGTGCATATTTAGCATCAATATTAAGTTGACATAAAACACATCGTTTCATTTTGATACAACATTCTTTACAAGATATTTTATGTTTACATGGTTCAAATAGAATATCAGCGGGACATTCATCACATATAATACATGGTGATAAAGCTGATGTATTTGGCATAACTTGTTTTATAATTGTTGAACGATTAAGAAGAATAAAATATTCTTTTAATTTTTGATCACTAACATAATCAAGTGGTAATTTATTTTGACGATTTTTAACTAACAATGGTGCATCACATTTAATTAGAAAGGCAGCTAAAACAATATTTGGAATTTGACGATAATCAACCGGCATTTGTGGAATTAAATCAGATGCTAGTAATATTAAACATGAATCATCACTTTGTTGAGTTTTTGATAATATTAAATGAAGTGGTGTATCACCATCTTCATCTAAAACTTTTGTTGATGCACGATGATCACGTACTAATAGGATAACTATTGATGAATGTCCTTGTGCAACAGCTAAATGAAGTGGTGTTTGTTTACGACTATTACATATTTCAACAGTTGCATGTCCACAACGAAGTAATAAACATGTTACTAATAAATGACCATTTAAACATGCTAAATATTACAAAACATAAGAAAATGATAAAATAATTAAAAAAAAATATATTTACCAAGATGAAGAGATGAAAATCCATCATCCTTTTTTGAATCAACTAATTGACGACATAATTCAATTAAACGCCATGTAACACTAGAAAAATATTAATGATTCTCTTTTTGTTTAATTAATTTATCAAAAAAAACAAAAAAATCGTACTATGCATTTCCTTTAAGTGCAGCATGATGAAGAACATTAAAACCTCGTTTATTTTTTAAATTAAAATTAATATTTGATACAGAAAGAAGAAGATCAATCAATTCTCGTCCATCAATACATTCATTATTTGAACTAAAAGTGAGATGCACAAAAAAGAAATTTTAATTTAATATCAATTTATAGAATAAGTCAATTACCGATCAGGTGAATTTTCTTCTGATGGTATAAGACTTGTTTGATGACGTGTTTCTTCCAATTCTTTTATTAAATTTAATACACTCGGATGAGTTCCACATGATGCAAGTTCATCAAGGCCAGCAAAATGACCAAATACACGAGTATTAGCTATTTAAAAGAAATATCAAAATAAAAAAGTATTGAATAGAAATGCCAAAACAAAAAAAAACTAAATGAAATAATACCAATATCGTGTAATGCAGTATCTCCATAAATATCTTGTAAATTAACATCAATTGGTGGTTGTTGAAGTTCTAATAATCTTTTGGTACATTCTAATAATTGTTTATTAATCGCAATATGAAGTGATGAACAACCAGTTGAATTTGTTGAATTAATATCAGCTCCTTTTGATAATAAAAGTGATATACAATCAGGTTGATTACCAAAACAAGCATAATGAAGTGCTGTATCACCATCAGCATCACGTTGTTCTAAATTTGCTCCATGTGAAAGAAGAATTCTTACAATATCAATATGACCTTGATGTGCGGCTAACATTAATGCAGATTTATCACCTGATCGACTTTCCACCTAAATTTAAAAAAAAAAACTTTTTTTTTATAAAATCAAAGATCAAAAACAAATTATTATTACAAGTTGAGGATTTTTATTTAAGGCATCTCTAACAGCTTGAATTTTTCCTTGTGCAGCATCTCTAACGATTGATGATGATGATAATGTATCATTATGTGCCAAAAGTGTATTATAAATAAGCATTTGTTTACATGATGATGAATTGGTTGTACCACCACCAATTGATGAACCACCTTGTAAACTCCAATCAATACTTGAAGCATATTCCATTTGTTGTTGTGCTTGATATGCTTGAAGTGTATTATGACTTGTTGAACTTAATAAACTTGATGATGATGTTGTTAATGGTGTACAACATTGAGGATTAAAGGTAAATGATTGACCATTAACACTTACACGAATATCACCATCACCATAAACTTGTAAAACTTTTCCTTGTTTACCAAGTGCACCAATCATATCATGTGACCATTCACCATGTCCTTTTTGTGCTTGTTTTAAACGTTGTTCATCACCACAAATAATAACTTGATCACCAACACTAAATGAATGAATTTTACATAATGCACCTGGATGAAATGTCCAACGATTTTGTTGTGCTATTGATGATGATGAATCTTGATTATTATCACCAGGTATATGAAATTGTACTCGTACATCACCTCTTTCTGTAACACGATGAACATGTCCTTCTTTACCTAATACATCAGCCATACGTATATTCCATCCACCATGACCTTCTTGTAATTGTTTAACAAGATCAATATCAGACATAACACGAACTTTATCACCAACTGAATATAGAGAAATTTCAAGTGGAGGTACAAGACGTTCAATATGTTCACCAAGTACAGGTAAATGTGTTTTATAATATTGTCCATTTTTTGCTTCATGTACATATTTAAGATCAACTTTTCCTTTATGTCCAACACGATAAACATTAGCAACATGTGGATTATGTAACCATGAAACAGCAGCAACACTACGTCCAGATTCATTTTCCCAACCTTTTATTTCTTGAACTTTTCCTTGTCCACCAGGACCACCATCTTGATCTCCCCAATCCCAATCAGCACCACGTACAACAACAGCACCTTTAAAAATTCCTTTAGCAATAAGACGTGCATCAAGACTTTGACTTCGAGGTGGAACTTTCACGCCCTTCAATTAATAAAAAAAAAAAAAATAAGACAAATAATAAATATATCGTTGATGTTTACTTGAGTGTTGGTAGCTGTTTCAAAACGAAGAAATGGATGGGTGAGATCATGTTTATCTAGAGCCATATAACAATGTGTACAAAGATCAAAATCAAAACATCGAGCACATTTCCATCTCATTCCAATTATTCCATGTTTTCGACATGCATCACAAATTACATTTGGATGACGAACACCAATTGGTGCATTATCATAAACACGTAAGTCATATGCTGATTGATATCCAACACGATAACTTAACAAAAATATATATATATATATGATTTATTTTCTTTTTTGTCAAAACATCGATAAAATAAAAAATAAATTTACTTTGTTCGAGATCCTGAATCCCATTGAACAACAACAGTTTTATCGGGAGATGTATTGCTACCTGGTTTACCTAATTCAACAACAGTACCAACATGACCTTCTCCATCATCTTGCTGTGCCCATTTCCAATCCGGACCACGAACCTATTTATAATAATTATTTATTTATTAGAATAATAATATATGATAAACTAAAGAAGAAAAACAAGATAAATTTTTACCACTCTTAAACCAATCTCAAGCATGGTGATGGAGGAGATATCATGTTTGTAAAGCTATAGCTCTGTTGTCCGATTAAGTATTTGTTCATTGTCTGCTCCCACTCGTTCGTTCGTTCAATCAACTGATTATTTTATATATATGGATTAAAACAAGTATTCCATATCCACCAATAGTACATTTTATATCGATAGATGTCGTTGGTTCATAGACCGATTGTGATCATGATAATTATAAAGACTCTTCCATTCATTTAACACATGATGTCTACTTTTTTTTTATTGTCCTTCTTCTTTTTGTTTTTTTTTTAAATAATCAATAATTATTAATGTTATCTGTCATATGTTTCTTTAATATTTCTAGACATCTTGATATTGGAGAAATCTTATAATCTTTATACAAATAATCAATTATAAACTTTTATTTTGTTTTTAGAGAAGACGTATCAATATCAATCTAGCATCATATGTTGAAAATTTCTAAAGTATTTGTATTTTCTAAACTTCAAATAGACAACAGAGTCCAATGATAATTCACAAAATTGATAGATTATGTTTTTCCGTAGATAATAACGACATTTACACAACTAAATTTCATGTTAAATGGATAAAATCAGTTTCATATATCATAAGAAATAAGACAACTAGAAGAAATTGATATTTGTAGCTATGCTGAAGTTACATCACAAAATTTTTTCTTGAAACACTTATAATTTTTCATATAATGTCTAGCACAAAGAAAATTTTCTTTAAAAAGGTACATTATTCATCGAAAAGAAGTGAAAGATTCTATTAATAGTAAAGGTGAACTTTACGAGGAATCTATAAGAAAATCTGATTATAGACGACTAATAGATTACGATTATTTTAAAAATGGCTTCATACTGTATTTCATTCTTGGATAGATAAGGCTTATACGATTGTGAACATCAGACAACTTTTCTGTAAATTGATCAGCAAAAGTGATAATTTTCAATATAGAGTGTGGGGTGTGGGTGTGCATTAAACAAGCAGAACAAGCCCACACCCACACCCTAATAAGTGTTATCATCTTTTTAATAATGCATCTTTCATTTCAGAAATTTGATTGTGTAGTTTTTATTTGATACAAAAAAAATTATAAATAAAAATTTCATAAAAAAGAATATTATCAAGAAAACTTAGTAACATTCTGATTTATCCCAAAACTTAGCATTTTCGATCAATTATGTATCTCGACCTTCTCCTTCTTGTCTTATATTATAGTCATCGATTATTGTTCGAAAAGTTTTTATTTATCTATTCTTTCAAACAACACGTTAAAGAAAATGTTTATGAATTCCATTTCCATAAGTAACTACCAACGATCATCAATAAATGCTGTTAAATGAAGTACAAAATTAATACTTTGATTTTCTTTTAATCGTAATAATGAAGGAATAATTAGAATTGCAACATATATGTGATAAATCCGTTGGATAAAGAACAAAACGAAATTGATCGTTTTTATTTTTAATAACAAGATCAAGTTGTGAACCAGATAGATTAACACGAACACATTGAATATCTAAAATAGTAATAATCAAAATTCAATAAAAATCAAAATATGATTTATTATATTTTACCATCATCATCTTTATTACTAAGTTTTCTTTTGACCAAATTTTTATTAAATTCTATTTTGTTAATGCAATATGTTGTCGAATAATTTCTTTTGGATCATGACAACAAATAAAAACACTTTTATCTTGTACAACATAAGTCAAAGAAATAAGATGATTTGATTGAGTACCATGAATTTTTTTAATCATAGTATTTATATCTAAATCTGTATCAAATAATGCACGAGTCATGCAACTTAAAACAAGAAAACAATCACGGATTGAACACCAAGCAATACTTGATAGAAAACCCATCTTTTATAGTCAATCGTGATACATTTTCACTCTAAATTTATTAAATTATTAAAAAAAAAACAATAAAAATAAAAAACTAATTACTTACTAAAGTACCATTAACATTGTATAAGATAAGTTCATCTTTATCATATATAAGAATTTCATCTTGTTTTGAAGGACATCTTTTAAGATCATAAATTGAACCTGTTGTATTTTTGTTCTAAATCAAATAGATAATAATCGATTAGACTGAAAAGGATCAAATCAAACTTGAATAGATGTTGGTAAATATGTTTATAAATGACTAAGAGAAAGATCAAATAATCTATTTTACCTGTATATGTTGAACATGTAAATGAATATCGTCTGCTATTGAATTTTATCGAATTGTATCTCTGTTATACAAGGTTCATTTTCAATTCGCCGATGGACCTAAAAAACCACGTGTTATTTAAGATTTTATCAGTTGCTTTATACTTACAACGAAGAGTAAAAACTTTTAATTGATGTGACATTGTTGTTTTGGTAAGATACAACTTTCTATTTCATTCACAAGTTATAGTACTATTAAATTTATGTTCAATAGTACATGTAATTGAAAAATTTCGACGTAAACCATCGTCGCAGAGAAACAACAACGCCAATAGATAGGAATTCGATGTCTTTTTTAACCCAGTCTGTGCCTACTGACCAGGTGTGGCTCCATAGATGTGCGCAACATGATGTGAGACACTCATCTGAAATGCAATATTATCAAATGATCACACATTATTTTCCAGGTGGATTATTTCTATTTTGAGTATGAAATTTTTATTCGAATTTCTCAATCATTTCCACTATGATTTATCATCAATCACAAAAACATAAACAACATTATAAATCAATAAATCATAATGAAAATTCATCAATTGTTAAATATAATTATCTTATTACAGTTGATATTTCAAAAGTTCATGATGATTATAAAGAAGAATTTTTATTTAATACAAAAATATATTTTCATACTAATATTCTTCTTTATATCAATTATTAATCATTGGAAAGAGTGATCCACAAGTTTACAAGAGATGATAAACGAATTAATTGTGCTAAAATAAATGAAATTTATATATTCGGAGAAAAAAATTATTCCAAATCTATACAAGATCATTTTTCTTTTGCAATAATACATTGATTATTACTTTAGTAAAACAAATTTATTATCTTATTTAAAGATCAAATATTTCAAAAAAAGCAACAGAATAATATTTATCTAGAAAGAAGTCAATATCATTATGTGTGAAGAGTTCTTATCTGTTAGTAAATTGATTTATATTGCTAGAAATCACTGTAAATCAGTTTATTTCCTCTTAATTTGACTAACATATTTATTTATCACTATGAATGAGAAGAAACTGTCACTAAAAAAAGACCATTTCTAAACTGAATTCGGTGGTGAAGTAGCCTTATTCTTACCAAATAACCTAGAATAAATTTGAACAATCAATAATTTTGTTTTCCTCACCTGATCTTTTTCACATCTTTTATCTAGACACTCATCAAATGAAACTTTTCCTCAAATCAAATCATTGATAAGGGAGCACAAAATTTTCTTAATGTTACATGACAAAGTCAAGTTATAGTATATCTTGTTTTTTTTTTCAGTTTATCACTTTTCCGTTTTTCATGCAAACACCTATTACTCTGTGCTTCAGAAAAGAACAAATAAATGTCAATAATGAAAGAATATTCTTTACCAGGCTTCCTTGAAGGAAATCTAAAATTCTCTTCGTCATGTTTGTTTTTTAAATAAATAAAAGCTTTCCAGAGATTATCCACATAAAAGTTCACTAAAATAGATCTGTTAATTATAAAGGTTTTTACTTTGATAAAAAAAATTGACTAAGAGTTGTTTTAGGTTCAACCTTAATTCAATAAAAAAGATTTTTTTATAAAAACAATTGTTCACTTAGATAATAATCCATGTGATTGTCAATTATGATATTTGTCAAGATAAAATTCTTAATTGATATTTGATGGGAAAAAAATTTGTTTATTTATTATTGAAAATTTTTCTACTAAAGAATATTCATCATTGAAATTTATATTAAAATAAATAAAAATATTTGAATAATTAATATAAAATTTTACTAAAAAGATAAAAAAAAAAGATTACATTCTTCTAATTGATCAATAAATTAATATGAATTATTTTTATTTAAATAATCAATTAGAAAATGAACTCAAATTAATTAATATTAATAAATTTTAACATTTTGTAAAATCAATAATTGAAAGTCATATTTACACTAAAACAAGTATCAAATCGAAAATTTACAAATGATGCAAATGATTCCATTGTTGACTAAGAGAAAAATATTTTATAATAAATATAACAGTATCAACATGCAAAATCGAGCTTTATCCCAATGTCAAACAAGTATGGCTAATCGAATAGAAATATACCAGCAACGTTTGTGTTTTTTTTTATAGTCTATATTGCTAATAAATTAATTAATCAATTTTTAATTTTTTTTATAGCGCTACTTCACGATTCGCAAACTCCAATTTATGCAACTTTTGGTTCACAAACATCTTAGTATGAAAATATGGTTCGAATAGATCTGATTTCAATGAAAAAAAATTCTAATCTCTCTTTCGACACCTTTTCATGATGATTCAATGACTCCAGCTCCTCATGATGGTGCATTAGTTTCATACTTATCAAATTTTGTAAAAAGAATAGTTTCTTTTCTTTATTTACAATTTTTGAACACTAACTTGTGAGTGTGGTATATAGATTGAGTGAAGAAAAATATTATTTTCATATTCAATAGAAATGATGTTTTGCCAGGTTGATATATAAAGCAAGATAAATCTTATCTTAATGATTGAATAGAGTTTGATAATGTCTACTTCAAACAAGGTTACTATTTGCGGAAATCAAATGTTCTATTGAACGCATTTTTCTACAATTATTTTCTCTAAATATTCTTACTTCTAGCCGGTAATTTATACATATGTTTTTTTTTGTTGTGACTCTCATGTATAAGTACAAATTTATTTTTCTTCTCTCTTTTCTCCATTCTAAATCATTTTATTTGAAGCACAATAATTACATTTTAAAAACAAACACAAGAATTTTTTTCTAAGTTGTTATTGAAGAAAATGTTGAGTAACAACCACAAAGGATTACTTCTCTGGCTAGTAAAGACAAAAAAACAAATAACTATGTTTATGAGTTATACTTTTAATGAAGAACGGTAACGATTGATTATTGTGGATGGCTCATAAGAATTTCATAAATTTCTCAAAGTTATTTGAAGAGATAATCTATTACTCGATCGAGAAATCATTTCCTCTGAAAAATTTTGCTTTACATCTTTTCGATAATGTGATATAAAAGAGCATATAAAATCTACCTATAAATCCAAAATTTTAGCCTTGCTTTAATGTCTATTGACTAAATATGAAGGACATATTGAACATGACACAAGATCCTTAAAAATCTTTCCTCGCGTTCAAAATTTTCAGCAACAATGTCGATCTAACATCTATTAAAAATACTTCTTAGTTTAATTACTTACTCAACAGACGGTGGGTGTGGATCGGAGTGTAGGTGTATGTCTTATCCCACACCCACACTAACAGTATTACATTACTATTCGTCGACCTATGGTCATCATGATAAAATCCAATAGTACCCACATCACCATATTTTTTAAGAAATTCTGATGTTGCTTGGCCATCCTATTGAAAGAAACCAATTGAAAATTTATGTTGAATTTAGAAAACAAAATATACTTGGCATAATTTTAGTATCAGTTCAAGAGAAATTTTTCTATCAGACTCTCGACCTGGATCAAAAAATCATATGGATTTCTCCAATTAACCAGTATGACCTATGTAAAAAAAAAGGAATTTTCAAAACTATTTCTCCTTTTTCTTGTTTTTCTTATAATTCATTCTACTTGTTCGACCAATACGACGAATATAAAAATCACTTGTATCCGGCAAATCATAATGAACAATAAAATCAGTAAGACCATTTGTAAATTGTTCTACAGTTTCCTTTCGTTGTTAGTGTGTTTGATTTTCATGGAATGTTATACTCATGAAAAGTTTTTGTAAAAGTAATGCACCAATAGTATCAACTGATCGCTGTGTTTCAATAAAATCAAACAACGTTCAGATCTTGTTTCTTTGTAAATGGTACTTCTTTTATTGTATGAGCTACATCGACATTTGCACTCTCATAGAAAAAAATATAATCTTCACGAAGGACATGTTTTGCTAATTGCTGTAATTGGTTAGAAAATGTTACGAAAAATATTCATGGAACAAGTTCTTCTTGTGATGATAAACCAAGACTTTCTAATTTTCTTATATCAAGTTTCAATTCTGTATCTAATATTCTTTAGAAAAACAAAAAAACCGTAATCAAAATTAGGTTCAACACCATCAGTGTTGTTTTTACATACCGGTTAGTTTCATCTATAACGAGAAATTTCACTTGTTTTTAGTGAAACTGAAATAAGGAATCCTGTAAAACTTTGAATACAATCCACTGAATTATAATTTTACTTGAACTTTTCCTACCATATCTTGAAGACGATCCGATACAATAAACATGTCATGACCATCAGCAGCAATACGATCTAGGTGCAAATAATAATCACCCGGACATTTTACGAGAATACATATTCTCGCTGTACTTTTATGAAGTAGCTTACACGGTACCACAGCAGTTCGATATGTGATTTTTCTTGCTTCATCTTCTGTTTGTAAAACATGTTGGTATGTAGGTGATATCATAAGGAAAAGTGGTGATGACGGATGTTCTCTATTAGATAATACATCGGCATGACATTCAAGTAAAGGATGAGTAGCCGTTAAAAAACAAAACTTACTGATCTATCACATCCAATTTGAGCACAAAACCAATAATCACCTCGTTATTGAAATCTTCAAAGTGAGCAAGACGAGTATTTGATACACTTTGTGTGTCAACACTAGCTTCTTCGTTTAACTCAATTGGTTTGACTTTGTCTAATGAAATATAAAAAAAAGTCATTGTTGAACTAAACATTAAAAATAAAATAAAGAATACTATATTACCTAATGGTAGATAACAAATTTATATTCTAGGGATATTTCCAAAGTCTTCATCCTTTCTTATTGCTTTAATAAATATATCATCTGTATTTGCCAATAAAGGTGGTGGAAGATAATGTTTAATTGGATGATCATCAGCTATAGAAAAAATGACTTCGATTATTTTTCTATCTTAATTCTTATATATATTTCCGTTAATTGAAAATATCATCAGAAACCTATATGAATGATCGAATTTTTTTTTCAAAAACTAAATATATGCTTACTCGGTTGTTATTTTTTTTGACATCAGAATTATAGAAACTATCGCCATACTATCTGAAAGACTAAACAAATAACACATACTATATATATGTAACTTGAATATATTTACTTTTGCTATCATTTTCAAGACGAATACCATGATTATCTAGCAGCTAAATAAAAACTATGGTTCTTCCTACTTATATAAAATTATCTTACCACGAACACCGGATATGAATTGTCTTCTGAATGAAGCTCAATGATTTGTATTGAACAAATTGTTTTTCAATGTAGAAATATGGATGATGATTTATGAAACGTTGTACTCGTACGAGACTCGTCAGACACCGATGATTTGCAATTATTTGACGACGACACCAAATGAGCACTGTGTTGGTTATTTTTACCTCGTGTATCTTGAAGACAAATACAAGCAAATTTTTCATATTTATTTAGTTTTATCTTATGATGAGCAGCTGAACTGATTCGCTTTCTCGATACGATTGGACTACCTCCAATAGACATTGCATTGTTCTATGTAGATCATAACGATTTTTTTTGTTTTCCTCGAGGCATTCTATAACTTTGTTGTTTTAATTTGTACATAGTTTCTGTTGTTTGACAACAACAATTCAATACTACGATTCTCAACATCTGAACTCAAAGTAACATAATGTTCATTATCAATTCCATCAGGTTCATCGTGTAGCTCAGAAAATTCTTGACGCATTTGGTCAGTCTTTCTACTAGTGTTATGTTCTTTAAAATAGAGGAAAATAATTTCATTAAATATGCCATATTTTTTTAAACTATTGATAAATTTTCAAATATGCTAGCATCTAAACTACACACTTGACAAACGATTATCCTCACTCTATCAAAACACATAACTATTATTGTATTGCCTCCGGAAAAATAGAAAATTTTATTTGGTCCATATAAGCAGTAAAATTATACTAATAGAAACTCCAATCGATGGCGATTTTGCAACTGAAGTGTGCATTAACATTATCATTACTGTGTTCCTAATGATTGATATGACAGAAAGAAATTTGAAAACGCTTGTGTGTCATTACTAACAGTATCGACATGAATAGGGATGCGAGTTTGCTCTTGGATGCATGCCTCACTGACACTTGCACAGCACTGAGGTTCGAACAAGCTCTTAGAAAATCGATTTTGTTACCATTTATACAATAAGGAAGAAAACTATGCATTAAAGAGATATTAATGGTATTGATGAGTGTTTCTCGAAAAGAGTTAATTACGACTGTTGTGAACAAGTGATACGAATAATTCGACTCATGCTATCGAATACGTATCATATGCTTTTTCTGTCAGAGTCAAGTCAAAGGAATCTAAATAATTTTATGGGGACTCACTCAGACCTACAGAGATATCTGTTAATGTTTGATGATCTTAGTGAAAGTAGACTTAAGGAGAAACAAAATTTTTGATTTATTATGCTGTTGTTTGTAGGCATTTGAGTCACTCAACTGTAGCAAAACTAATTTCGTACGACTCTTGCTTATAAGAAAAGTCATACAATCAAATTAGATTTCAATCCTTGCTTCAAATGTTTGCCAGCAAACAGATATACGGAAAAGTATAAGTAGTAAAGAATATTCGAAACATACTTTATTCGAATTCAATCAATAATAATTCGTAGGATTTATGTGTAAAACGAGAATTCATATGTGAGCAATAACTGCTCTTTCAGTTCTAATAATGTTTATATAATATTCTACATGTATGCGATTGATAACGAGTTATTTTCTAGCAAGTTAGAACATATATAAGTAATCTTAGGTCAAAATAATAAATCAACTAGTAAAATTTATTTTTCAAAAAGACTTTGGAGAAAAATTCGAATGAAATCATCGTACCATTAATACATGATCTCTTTAGTCAAAGATTACTAATACTATATGATTTTCTAATGTTGATGAATAAAAACACAGTAGTTCTCTATAGTGAGTTTTTAGTCAAGTCTCCTGAAAAAGTTTCGTGTTTCTGTAGCAAAACTAATTTACCAATGTATATGTCATAACTACACTTACCAAAAAATAAATGGATGCAACTGATGTTTACTAAATGTGCAGAATCAATCGGATTTGAATCTTCTGTTAACTTCGTTTGATTTCATTTCTTTTCCTGAACGATCTATATTGATTTCATCAAATTCATTTTCTTCACAAATCTTCTTTAACTCATCAGTTAATTGAGATAATATATTTTTCATTTTCACTATAATGTTGCATATTCTGTTCAATCAATATTTATCTACATTCTTCTGCTGCTTTCTTTAATTTTCTGAATCGATTCTTACTCCAATAAGTTCACTTCCTGCATAAATAATAAAATAATGAGTGTTTAACGAAATTCTTGTCAACGATTGTAACAAAAATCTTTGGACTTTGACTGTGCCTCTCCCATTTATTGAATGGTTTGACGATGAAAATCTTACCTACGTACGGGAACATAGAGGACAGACTGAAATTAGTACATATCTATGGTGTGATATATACAGATATAGACAAACAAAATGAGTCAATACCAGTTTCATTCTCTCGCTTTATCTGTCGACAATGAATCACGAACTAATGTATCCTACAACAAAGTTTTCAGATGTGTGGAATACATAGATGGCCAAGAACTGATTCTAAAAACTGAAGTTGAGTGTCAAAATGCATTAGTATTACTCTTTCTCTCGTGATCATTTATCATATCCTGTTATTCAACAAAAGTTGAGAATGATTGCGTAACAAGATAGACTCGACTGTTGAAAAGAATTTCTATGGAATTTTTAAATCGAAAAATAATCAATAGAATAATAAAATAACTTATAGATCGATCATTGCCAACAATAAAAAACAAATAATATTCAACGTCTAATCTCAGAGAGCTATGATTCAAGCAGAAGAAGTGGGAAAAGTCTAACACATAACTTTATCATATACTGGAAAGATTTTCATATGAGGAATTAAAATAGTTAGTTTTTGAATTTTTGACCAGTGATGAAAGTGTTTCTATTCTTAATTAATATGGTTAGATATATTAGGGTCTAATTACAACTATCATCATTAAGCTAAGAAAATAAAATTATAGGGTTCTGTTATCATGCTTAAATCAAGATACTTGAAGTCCAAGATTTTTACACCGTATATTAAATACACACAAATCAAAACTTTAGCAGAATTTTTTCTATTTTTCTTATAGTTGAGTAGAACTCGCCAAGTTACATAAGAAAAAGTATATTTCAAATGCAAAAACCCAATATTTTATGAAGAAGACCAAGGTAACATTATGTTCAGTTATCTTAAGAGAGAAACCTAGAATTTTAATACATAGGTAACTGTTTTGCATTTGAAAGATTGCTTCTTCTCGTGCGCCTCAATGAACTATATCCGATCATGAAAAAAAAGAAAGAAACTTCTAACATTTTAATTTGTGAGTACTTTAGCTATGGTATGAAAATCTTAAAACATGAAATTTACTTTTGAGATCTAATACTCTATGTTATTGTGAATAAATTGAAAAAATTTGGAGTCGTGCTTATTTAACTCAGAAAGATATGGAAGAAGAAACAGACCATACAAAAAACGTTAAATCAAAAGGTGAATTACATGTTACTAAATAATAGATCATCTTCATTTTAAATGAATCGAATTTTTTCTGTTTTTCCTTATCGATCGGTGCTCGTTGTTTGAAATGAACATTAAAACAGAGAAAAAAAAAATAATGTTTTCACTGATCGTTCGTATATAAGCAATTGTAATAATAAATAGATCAATGGAAACTACAATAAATATGCAATTATCTAAAGATAAAAAAATAATTCTGAATCAAAGCCTAGAAAATTGTATCTCATTCGTAGGCAAAGTTGTAAAAGACAAAAAATCTTGAATGTTTATTCATGAAAAAGTTATGCTTTACTATTAATTAGTAATGGATTGACTATTGATGAATATAGATGTAACGGAAGCAAAAAAAACGAAAGAAAACATTTTAATTAGCAGCTAGATAGATTCTAACATAATAATGCGCATAAATTCTGCAAGATCCTAATGATTTCTCGGTTATTTCTTGAGAAAATGTCTTAGAAAAACCATAATTTTTCATGCGCCTTTATTTAAAAATTTAAAGTAATATGGATTGATAAACAAGAAGACTGTGTAGAAGTGTCCAGATCAATTTTCTATATTGGATACACTTAAAAAATGAAATTTCCAAGTTGTTGCTTTATTATTTTCGCAGCTTGGAAATCATTTTATCGATCGTTTTGCATAATGTACCGCTATACGTTTCCTTTTTCTTTTCTTAGTATATTCTCACATAATAAACCTTTCGAATTTTTGATTCCATTGTATCACTTTACTTTATCCAGCATGTTCCTATGTAGAAGAATGATCTGAGAAAGAATGATTCACTATTATGGAATGGTATATATTATTTTGTTTGTTTTCGTGGAAACAAAATTTGAAGATAAGCTGTTCCAAAATCAAAAGTTTATCTTAGAGTCTTCTGAATGCATTTATCGAAGTATGCAACATACAAAAACTAAAACTTTATTTATTACATCATAGTCATTTAATTATCATCTTATATAATGTAACATCATGTTGTACCATCTTATGGAAAAGAAGAGTCAAAGAATTCACGACAGAATGAAAAAAAATATACATTATTTCGGATACTATCTGATAGAACAAAAAAACCTAGTGACAGTTACCTAATATTTTTCTTTTATCTTTTCTTCGTTTGCAATCATGAAATATATCATTTCGCTATAGACTATGATATAATCTATTAGAATATACAAATAATAGTTACTTTTCCATTTTCATTGTTGTATAACAGTAACATATTTAAACTAGACCTCCACTCAAACTAAGCCCCAGTAGAAAAGACGCCTGACTGCAGAATTTTCATAATCCTCATGTATGTTCATAGTTATTTTTTTGAATCTAATTCATCTATATTAATAAATGTAGATGGACATTGGTTAATAACAAATATCAATTGCATATCCCTTTATTAGAACATTATCATTCTTTTTATTTTGTATATATAAACCATACAAAGTTTTTTCTAAACCACAATGGTCACTCAAATACTAAATCATTTATAACTATATAAGGAAATTATCAGCTGTTAGTTACCATTTTTTTCGTTCTTGCATCTTCCGCACAGAGTCAAAGAAAAATGGATTTCAGATGCGCCCTACGCACATTCTCACGAGCTTGACAAGTTTTTTTTGTGAGGTGTGAGTGAATCTCCTCTTTCTGATCTCATCCACACTCACCTACACCAAAACCAGTTTTTTCAGTGTAGAAACTCTCAGTTACAGCTGATAGTCTGATGTAGAAAACCTTGCAAGTATTTGTCTCATTGCCGTTTCGATGTGGAGAGACAAATATGACAAGTTAATCTAAGAATGATTCGAAAATTTTGACCCTCTCAGCGAATTAAGGGTGTCTATCACGAATTTATAATCTGTTAATTGATTGAAATAGGTAATTTTGTAGAATGCATCAATCTAGTCCAATGTTATTCCTATCGTACTAATCTTCAATGACTTGTTTCATCTTACATTTCATTGAGAAGAATTTTTTTCATAACAGCTATATGTATTTTTATCCGAAAAGGTTTAATACAAAATTTGTCGTTTCAATGGAATAATATTCAGCATATTAGCTGATTATGATTTTAATTTTGTAACATTCTTTATATTCCTAAAGTTATTCATATTGACAATCTTATGTTTGAAAAGTTTCCTGCTTTGGAATTTGTCGTCTAATATTCTACTCGCTTGGATATATTTTTCGACGATTTTTGCAGGTTTAATTAAAATTCTCTAAGTGTTCTTTTTAAAATTCAATAGAAGATTCTAGATAAATGAATATTATTCCATTGAAATGATAAGTCTCCTATAAAACTCTTGCGAGAATGAAAGACTTTTTCAAAAATGTAAGATGGAATTATTCACTCAAAATTGATAAAATACCAAAAAGCAGTGGCATATATATTGATGCATGTCAAAGTATCTTCTCAGTAGATAAAATTCTCTCTTTTCTTCTATGAAATCATATATTTTGATCAATTATCATTAATTTACTTATAGGAGTCGAGACTTTTCAATCGCCTTTTATTATATCCAAAAACTACACGAATGTGATGGAGAAAAATAAATCTTTTGTAGAACTTTAAAAGATCTATGACAAAAAGAATAGAAGAGGCAGATCAAAGTGAAGGATTTTTAACTCTCCTAACTTTTTTCTCAACCTATGATTTACTCAGAAGATATCGATATTAAATGCTATCAAAATTTGATGCTTTTTTTAAGCAAAAAGTCCAAAACATTGTTACCTATATTCATCGTAGATATACAGCACATGTAAAACAAGAAAATGTCTGTTATTTGTGATATGTTAGAATGAACTATTAGTGTGCCAATGGCTATAGTTATACTTATAATGATAGAGAATACAGAAATAGGTTTGGCACTTGAATTTAACATTGATCAAAGGCACTAGTTCCTTGAAAAGAGTAACAACAATTTTATTTAATATCATAAGAAAAAGGCATTCGTAATCTGTACAACCATGGGAGTTTTTATTTGATAAATGTTTTTGTTTCATCGACGAACTCATTCTTCTTAAGAAGACAACAGTTGACGAAATTAAATTGATCATCCACTGAAATCATCTCAATCTACGACGAAGCAGTAGTTAAAAAAGAACCAATCTTTCATATCAGAGCATAAGTGTATTTATAAAAATCATGACTTTTCAGAAGAATTTGAATAGTTTGTTCAAGATTTTTATCGATAAATTTACTAGCGATGAAAAAATTTGCGCAGACATACTGCTATAATTCAAATGTTTCTTTGACTAGCGAATACTTCAGTCGGAGTTAACAGACATGTTTTTGTTTTTGTTTTCAATGCATAGTTTATAAAATAACCAATGACATAACTATTAACTACTTCTACCAGCGTTCCGCAAGGTTCCAGCATCATCATCATTTTAAGGATTGTGACCTTGCAAAATTCTCTTTTTCTTTTGAATAACTTTTGAAAAATTTATATTCAAAATATCCAAACGTAAGAAATTGTTTTTTTTTGGTGAAAAATACAAGATTTTCTTAAGTTTAATTAAAGAACAGAGTGAATATTTGTGATACAAGCCAGTTTCAATTTTATCTAAATTTGCACTTATTCAGAAGAAATATATTTATTTAAGATTCAGAGACTTAACTGATAATATCTAGAGTTTCTCAATTTCGTCGATGGCGAATTTCCACGAAAATGTGACTTCAAGGAATGACATATTGGAGAAAGTCATTTTGACGGAAATCGACTAACCTTATATTTCAATAAAACAAAGTTAGCTTGAAAAATGCAGATGAGATTGATTGTTCTATTTAAAAGAGGGAGACAATTAACTGTAACTATGGGGAGATATTTTCTTAGTCTAGACGAATTGGCAACGACTTCCTTGTTGAAACAAAAAGTAAGATAAATTGATAATAATCCGAAAATCGAAAAAAAGAAACATTTCTCTAGGGAAAAAAGATGAAGATTACAACGATAACTTATGTTACTTACTGAGCATTAAAGTCCCACTATAAATTCAATCATTTGACTTGCTTAAACTCAGTTCTGATCAGATTTAGAATGACTAGAATCGATTGTAACAGAAGATAGAAATTCGAAAACAATATTTATTTTAGACTTTTTCTATTCTAACCATAATTCATAGACAATAGGGTGTATAAATTTATAGATTAACTGAAAACCCACACCTTATTGCATATACTTCTGTTTAAATTAAATTTTACGGGAAAAAATTTCTTTATTTTGTTTCGTCACGTGTGTGCAAAGTTTACTGTTTCAACGACAAAACAACAGTTGAAGCATAGTTACGTAAGTTAGAACAGAAAATTTAAATCACGAAAGTAGATTATGAGAAAAAAAGTTTTGAAGAATACGACCATCTTTCATGTCATCAGCTCGTTCATAAGCTGCTAATCGTCTCTCCTATTCTCAGTAATGAAAATAAAACAGAATTCGGCATCATGCTATTCATTGGGACAACGACATCTACCATAAACAGATATTAGTCATTTTGGAAAAGTGAATAAGTAAATATAAATATCTTTGAAGTATTTTATCTTGTAAGATCAGCTGAAATCATACTAGAATAGTGACCTAACACATTTTACATTAAAACGCACTGTAGGATTCTTGTAAGATCTTACTGCCTGCTTGTTTAACCTGGGTGCGTGTACAAGTCTTTTAGTATCTTTAGAATGTAATAGGAACATGGTGTGACCATTTTCTTACAGAATATTCTATAGTGATGATCGGATTTTCGTTATTAATGATCTATTTTTTTCTGAAGTCATGTATTTTGATGATTGTATTGTTCAGTTGGAACTTACAAAAGTTTATGATTTCTATAAACAATTTCTCAGAAATGTAAATCTAAAATAACTTTATACAACAATGCCATGTCTGTCAGGCATCGAACTGAACTCGAACTCGTAGAAGACGGTTCGATTCCGTTTCGGATAGTTACTGTTAAATACTGCCCAATGATAATCGGATTGTCATCTTACAAGAAAACACTAATGTTCATATTTTCTAATATATGAAGGTGAGATGAACGAATAATGATGAATTGCTTTTTACATTAAAATATTCAATTTTTTTTTCTTTATTATTAAAATTTTTTTTGTATTGATAACAAAATAATAAGAAGTAGGAATAATAAATCAAGAAAAAAGAATTGTTATTTGAATAAGAAGAAACGATTGTAGTTCGAGAATTTTTAAATTTATCATTATCAACGAGTTTTCAGAAAGCAAGTTCAATAGGATGAAGTATGGTAGATGCTTTTACATATAATATACTAAATCAAAACGATTCAAAGAGTACTGGTTATAAATGCAAATTTTAATTCAGATTTGTGCATTTTCCTCTTAGATTTCAGCGACATGATTTAAATATTAGAGACCAATGAGCATGATTTTCCTAGTAAAAGGAGAAAGAATGGCAACAGAAAAGGCACTGAATGACATCATCAACCAGATTTAGACTATTCTAAAACATTTGAAAGACTTTCTTGAAACTTTAATGACTGAAATATGTTTGTGAATACTTTAATCGACTTATTTACTAGTTAAATCAATGGTTGAAATCATAATAAAACATACAATATGAAATACAGATTAACAAGCCAAACAGAAATTAGAGCACAAATGCACAAAATAAATGAGACTTATGGTTTTTGTGGATCTTGTTGATATGTTTTCATTTTATGAATCGATATTTTTAGTCTTTATTGAGGGTGTGGGTATGGATGAGAGAGAGTATCGATCCATCAACACATCCAAACAACATCTACACTCACACCCAAGACAATGATGAGATCGTATTTTGAATGTGTGCAAGTAAATCAGCATATACTTTTTTTGGATTCGATTCATTTATTAATACTTGTTCAAATTGACGTCGTTGTTCAATACTCGTTAACTAAAATAAGTAAAATAGATTTTTTTTCATACAATTAATATTTGGAGTTTTTCTTTTGTCTCTTTTATAATACCTGCAGATAATATTCTCGACCAGCAATAAGAAATAAGCGATTGTTTAATTCTTTAAAATGATCACTGAAACGTGATAACATCAATGAAAATCTAAAAAGTAAATGATATACCATATTATCTATGAAAATTCATTTTGACATTTCATGACGAAATTTATTGATTTTGTATTGATCGTTATTCCTTCGGATTGCAACAAAGAGTTTTTTTTTTCATTAATGTTTTACTATTTATCTTTTCCAAATAA